AATTATGATCATTTCTCCCAGCATCATTTCTCCCAGCATCTCTTTATCCAAGGACCTGCTAATGAATTTAAGATGCACACAACAAAGATGCGATTCAGAGTACATCACTCTTATCCTTAAAAACCTCTATAGCTTCTCACCTTTAAAGAGAAAAGTCTGAGCTCCTTGGACCCTCAAAGGAAGCTCACTCAAAAAGGAATGCTCAAAGCATGTTTTTTTTTTTTATTTAATGAATAGGCTATTTAAATAATCTTTTTGTCCTTTAGCACCGAACAGTTTGGGATGAGTCCCCAACTTTGTGTTCTCTGGCACCCAATACAGTGTTGGGAGACACAACACCTAGTATGTATTCAGCAGTCAAAAAATATGGGCTGCATTCTGGTCTTTGGAAAATGTCATTCTAAGCATAACTTTGCCTACAAGTTTGAACCGACAGGGAAACAAAGTGTTAATCAGGCAAGATGCTTAGAAATAGACGTAAGCTTAAAAGTATTTCTTAGTGTGTGCAATTATTTTGGGCAAGTAACACCATCTAATCTAATCCAGTGGCTCTGCTCTCCTGCTGCACATTAGTACACCTGGGGAGCTTTTTAAACCTTGGAGCTTCATCCCTTTCTAATCAGCTCACTTCATAATCATCCCTTCCAACAGAGGCTCTCCAGGTGTGGTCCCCACACCAGCAACTTTAGCATCACCTGGGAGCTTGTTAGAACTTCAGACTCTTGGCCCAACCCCACACCTGTTGAATCAGAACCCTAGGAGTGAGGTCGCTCATTCCGTTTTCACAAGCCCTCCAGGTGATTCTGACATGTGTGAAGGATGGAGAACCACTGATTTTTAGCACTGAACTCTGACTCTTTGCTGTTGTGTCCCAACAAAAGTAGGTATTTCTCTCTGGTACATCGCTGCAGCAGAAAGTATCATTTTGGGCCCAGGGTCTTCTGCTCCTTATCAGTTTTCATGGGGTCACCACGCAGAATGAGACCGAGCCTCCTGAAGATGGGGACTCTGATGATATTCCATCCTGGGCTCATGTTCCTCTCTTGCCCTTCAAACCCCATTACTTAGCACAGGGCCTGACAGGAAGTAAGTGTTCAATAAGGATAAGAATAAAACTATGAGGGTTACTCAGGCCAACTGAAAGAAGTAGATGCATTAGTCATGGTGTCTTTTCCTTAAACTGTGTCGTTTCTACAGTATTCATTAAAATAAATACTTTTTAGAAATTTATTTTTAATTGGAGGATAATTGTTCTAGTGATGGGGGTTTTGAGTAGTATGCTGTGTTTTGGGGAGAAAGCCTTGAGATGGGCCTTTCAATCACTGCTGAGTCCAACTAGTTTTTCAGTAGCAGTGACTGCTTTTTTTAGTCCCTAGCATCGAATCCAAGACCCATTCTCTATTGTTATAAGCTGTCACTGTAAGCAAATAAGAACTCAAAAGAAAGTCAACGTACATTACATTAATAATGAATCACAGAATACTCGTTTTCTTTCCTTGCTGCCAAACTCACATGCATGTGTGTGTACACATATACACACTCTCACACACACACACACACACACACACACACACAGTTGTAAGCTTGCTCCAATGGCAGGAGGGCTAGCATACCGGTAAAGAAGGTGAAAGCTGGGTTCGGGCTGCTTGGGTTCAGTTCCACCTCCACCCTTTACTAGTTGTGAGACTTTGTGTAATTTATTTAATCTTTCCATACCTTATTTTCCTCATTCCAGGAACAACTTGACTTGTCTCACAGTTTTCAAGGTAAAACTGGTATCCTTTACCCCCACTGATGAGAGGCTACTCAAGCATTAGCTTCATGGCTTTCTCACTTGTATAAACCCTTTCATGGCCCTGGGAGGGGCCCTGGTATTGTAGTCACAGGTTCCTATATTTTTTGTAAATTTGTAGAAGTAGGATATTTGACCACAGTTGTATAAAGTTGCTAGTTTTTTTCTCTCAGGCATCTCCTTTATCATTCTTCCCTGTTAAAGGGCAACGGAGCTGTCACGGCCATTTTTGGGATCTGGCTAAGAGGAAGTTGCGGGGGTTCCCTGGCGGCTCAGACGGACTACAGTCCGTAGGATTGCAGAGTCCGACACGACTGAAGTGACTTTCACACACACACGCAGCAGTGTACTTGTTTTTTTTTTTTTCTTTAAAGAAATTAGCCCACCAGGCTCCTCTGTCCATGTAAGTTCCCAGGCAGGTTGCAACCCCAGGAGCGGGTTGCATTTCCTACTCTAGGGATCTCCTGACCCAGGGATTGGACTCCCATCTCTTGTGTCTCCTGTGTTGACAGACTGATTCTTTACCACTGAGCTACCTGGGGAGCCTGGACAGTGTTCTACACAATAGGTTTTATAGAAAATATTGTGGAGGGGCCTGAGCGCTAGATCTGGTCTGCAGACCTGGGCTCCAGGGCTTCTGTTTACCGGTCACTTCAGCTTTCTAACCCTCAGTTTCTCCCTTCTGTAGAACTTGTCTTGTAAGGACATTTGTAAGCATCAAATGAAGTGATTTCTGAAACAACATATTATAAACTGTAAATTATTACAACTCAAGCTTTTTTAAAAAAAGACACAGATACGTGTACTGCAAATATCTTCTCCCTCTCAGGAGCCTGCCTTTTTTATTCACTTAATAATGCCTTTTGATGGATGTAAGTTATTGTGTGATAAAACATAATTTTGATAAACATTAAATCATAAAATGTAAAAAGTGCATTTGGCAATTTTTTTGTATGATCACTGTTATTTGTGTCCTGTTTAAGAAGTCTTTACCTAACCAAAGGTCATGAGGGCATCTGCCTAAAAATCATTATGTCCTAGAGTTTTACTGTTTTGCCATTCAAATTAAAATTTCTTTGGGATTGATTTTTGGATATGATGTAAGGTAAGGATTAAGATACATTTGTTTTCAACATGGATATTCAAATGACCTAGATCCATTTATTAAAAATACCTTTCCTTCCTCCTCTGTATTTTCAATGGCACCATTGTCATAAATCAGATCAGGTGGCCTCATATATTTGAGGATGTATTTGGACTCTATTCTGTTCAACTTGCCTAGTTGTCTATCTTTGTACCAATCCTTCATTGTTTTAATAACTGTCCCTTTAAAATAGATGCTTTTATTTTGTCACTCAACTTTCCAACTTCTTCAAGATTTTCCTATCAATTCTTGGTCCTTTTCACTTATATATCCCTTTAGTAAGTTACTCTTGCCACAGATTTCTTCTAGGATCTTGATTAAGTTTTTTTTTTTTCCTATACATCAACATATTTTCAGTATTGAGATTTCCAAATCATGAACATGCTTTGTCCATTTATTTAGACCTATAATTACTCGCAGTAATACTTTGTAGTTTTCTTTGCAGGGGTCTTTTTATCTTAAAGTTTTTTTTCATAAGTATGTGATGATTTTGGAAAAGACCTTGATGTTGGGCAAGATTGAGGGCAGGAGGAGAAGGGGGCGACAGAGGATGAGATAGTTGGATGGCATCCCCATCTCAATAAACATGAGTTTGAGCAAACTCTGGGAGATAGTAAAGGACAGGGAAGCCTGGCATGCTGCAGTCCATGGGGTCACAAAGAGTCGGACTGAACAACAACATAAATGGTATTGTTTCCAACTGTTTGTTGCCAGTAAAATGCAATTGCATTTTATTTTAATCACCTTGTAATTAGCAACCTTGCTAAATTGACTTTTTAATTCTAGTATTTATCAATGGATTAAAAAAAAACCTTTTCTATGTATACAATCATGTTACTTCAGTTCACGTTTTATAAGCTACCATATATTGGCTATTCACAGTACCACATAAGCACAAGAAAATAAGGATTATCCTTGACTGGGGGATTTGGGAGGTTACTTGGGTGAGGTTGAATTTAAGCTGAGCCCTTTTTTTTAGAGCTCAAGACCCTTTAAAGAAAGTGGAGATTGTGACAGCAGGAAATGCTTGCTATTTAGTTTGACAACATTTATGGAGATATCTCTAGATGTTGAGTCATTTTCACTGCACTGCAAACTTGTGTTTCATATGCAGCCCTGATCCATTTAATTACTTGAAATTCAGAGGGTGCCTTACAGTAATTACAGTGATGATCAATTAAGCAGCTTTCAGTTTGGGAGCCCCTCCCTCACAACATTTCCACGCACAGTTTCTTAAATTTCCAAACTGAAATTATTTCTCAAAGAAGTAAAGCTTAAAATCACTTCTTTCCTTCTCAGTGTCTTTCCTAGTAAAATGAACAAACAAGTAAAACTCATTTCCTTGGAAGAACACAAATGATGGTAGCATTGATATTACTGTAAATTAGAGAATGTATTAACATATAAGCAAAATACAAGAAGCAGGCAAACAAACAAAAACCCAGAATTGGCTGTGTTTTATTTTGTTTTGTTTTGACAGGAGATAGTATTACAGCATACCACTGGATATATATATATATGTATATATATATATATATATATCTTTCCTTTGTGAAAGTATTGGGAAATGTCTCATGTAGGGAATGGATTGGGTTTTAGAAGAAGTGGGTAGTGTGATCTGAATAGACAGAAAAGTAGGAGAGGCCATCCAGGTGAAGGGGACTAAAGAAGTGAGGTTGTACATGGAAGGAGGATGCTGTCTGACAAGGACAGAAGGATTATGGGGCTTACCTGAACAGAGTATGGTGGGCGGAAGATAACTTAGTGGTTTATAGGTTAAAAACATTCATCCATTAGTTCATACCAACCCTAAGAGGAAAGCAGGGAACTGTTGTCAGTAAACACTGAATGTTGATTGTTGAGATAAGCCCCTTAAAGAGTGGGAACTGAGGGTGAAAGGGCAGCAGCACTGACCTGGGCAGACCTGGTCTGTAGAACTGCCCGCGTGAATATTGACGGAAGCCTGGCTGAGGATGCAGTCATGGGAGGAGAAAGGCGGCAACAAGGAGACATTGTGGGGATAATATCACACAAAGTGTGCAGGTGTGTGTGTGGCTGCAGGCACTGTGGTTGGGGGTGGGCTTCGGAGAGGTTATAGTCAAAGAGAAGGCCCAACGTTCCTGTTTAATTGCCAGGTGGAGGTTAACGCTGCAACCTGCAAGTTGAGGGGACAAGTTGACATGATGAGTTTAATGTTTTGTCAGCATTTCTAGATAATATAAAAGATTGTTACATTTTATAGTAACAAACATGAAAGTGCACAAATAAGTGATTTATAACCTTTATGAAGTCAAAAAATTTTAAGTCATTTTTTTAATGGGTAGCATTAAAATTGACCCAAACTCTGTACTATCTTATTTAGAGATGACAGAGATGTTAAATTCAGAAAGCTATTGAAAACCAGGTGCATTCAGGTGGGAGAGGACATACTGGTTTTATGAGGACTGACCGAAGGAATTAAGGGTGTTTTGTTAACCGAGAAAGAAACAGAAAGTACAACGTTGCTCTCTGCAAAAATCTGAAAGGCTGCCGCAAGGAAGAGGTGCTAGACTAATTCCCAGTGCACCCAAATAGTGGAACTGAGGCCAGGGGAAATGTGTTTTCTTTTAATATTAGAAGGACATTTTTATAGTCATAACTGACCTAAGATGCAGGAGAGGTCTCAGGAGGCTGTGACAGTCCATCAGTGAGATTTTCAAGAAAGGTTTGTCACTTGATGAGGAGTTGGATGACATGCCCTTCCAACCTCAGGATTCTGTGATTTTATCAGAATTGTTTTCCTTTCAGCAACTTTTGTATTTTGAACCAATTTGTCACTTTTTCCTGTCACTTTTGATTATAGGAAGTGGAATAAGGGTGATAAAAACAGCCTCTTGGTTTTATTAGTTTTCTAGACACATTCACAATAGAAATACAAGAATAAAGTGGTATATACTTTTAAAATTCTTTTTCACACTTTTTTTCCTTTTAATACAGCTTTACTTTCAGGGAACCAGGATATTTTGCTTCACCCCATTAGCTAAGATCTAATCAGCTCCTTTCTATTTTGACTTCTGAGAAAAATCGAAGTGATACAAACTTTAAATCGAAAGGTTTCATCTACTACTTACTGCTTGCAGGTACCACCAAGGTTTCTCTATTTAGACCCCAGCTCCTGTGTACGTAGAGAGTTTTATCTTCGAGGTTCATCATGGGTGGTAAAAGGAGTGTTTGCCTTTGTTAGAGTGATCCAAGTGATTTCTCCAATTGGAACCCATTTGGGTTGGAGTTCTCAAGATAACTCATGCCATCATTGTTTCTTCAGTCCTTTGCTTATAAGATTTCTTTTCTTTAAAGTGAAATGATGTATGGTGTTTGTGGGAAGTGGTTTTACTGCATCGTAGCTTGGGGCTGACAGGCAACTTCAGATATCTCTTGAAAAAAGCAAATGTTCAGTGGAATTTAGAAATGGTTAATATTGAGCACAGACTCAACTGTTGAAAAACTCTGGTTTTCAGATATTCAGGTAACAAGTATGCCTCCAATATACTGGTTATAGTATTAAAGGAGTTTCTGGGTTCTGTATCAATATGAATCTTATTTTTCCTTACTTGTGCTAAGACTTATCTAGGACTGCCCTCCTGAGATGTTTTCTTTTAAAAAATAGTAATTACTGAAATGCTTTCCTTCTTTCCTCCTTTTATTCAGTGCCAAATACATTACATTACACATCACAGGAGCTAAATTAATGAATTGAGCACTTTCTAGCCAACTTCTCTATTATTTGGAGAAATATTTGTACATTGTACAGTAACTGTTTAAAGAGTAGCAGTCAAAAACTAAATGGTGTGTGCTGGGGGGGAAGCCTATCTTAAAATTGTTAAGGTTTAACAAAAATGGTGGCATCTGAGGTGATAATTTCATCACCTTAGAAAACCCATTGTGTATGACTGTGAAGGCAGCATCTGGAATATCCTAGATACATTGATTTGCTTGTTTACTTATTGCAAAGACTATCTTAAATGCCTTTTATCTAATATTTTCCTTTTAAAAAAATTGGAGTATAGTTGATTTAAAATATTGTTAGTTACAGGTGTGAGCAAATCACCTGATTCAGTTGGTGTTGTACTTATACATGTGTTTTTTTAATGATTCTTTTCAATTATAAGATATTGAATATATTGAATATAGCTCTCTGTGCTATAAGTAGATACTTGTCATTTATCCATTTTGTATATAGCAGTTTGTATCTGCTAATCCAAAATTCCCAATTTACCCTTCCCCTGCCCTTTCTTCTTCAGTAATCATGTTTGTTTTTTATATCTATACCTAATTTTATCCTTGATAGTATTTTATGGCACAACACTTTTGTTTTTCTTTTTCAGAATGGCATGAACAGATATCCTCTCAAATCTATAAATACTCATATTTACCTTAACTCATGTGTTAAGATCAACAAACACCAAAGCACAGGCCAACCCACATCAAAAGTAATAAAGATTGTATTTTAAACCAGCAAGAATCAACATGTGACCACCTTTTTTTTCCTTTATTTTCATGAGATCTCTCTTTGAAGTGCATCTTGCCTTTGAGGTAAAGTTGCAAGCACACAGTTTTGGAAAAGTAGTAATCAATATAGAAGTTGAGGGGATTAAGTAACTTTCTAAGATATAGCTATTAATACCTCATTTTTATCCAAAAGAAACAGAAGAGGAGCACATGGAGGAAGAGGAGGAGGAAAGAAAGAAAGCATTGTTTCTTTCAATACATTTCTCTTTCTAAGATGCTGTACTGTAGAAAACCAGCTTCTTTCCTGCTCTCCTGACAATATAATCAGTATTCCATTACCCTTCACAAGCTTCTCTTTAAGAGGGCTTCACTGTGTTTTATGATTTAAAATGATTCGTCTGTGAGGGTTTTATTGCTAAGAGTCAGGTGTTGTAGGTTCCAGGAAGTTATGAGCCTGATGCCAACCTCTTCCCCCATCTCTTTCTGTAAACTTGGATATTTCAATTCAGTATCAATTTGTGAAGTGTTTTTAAAGGCATTGTGCTAGGAGTTTGGTGGTGGTTAAGATAAATATAGTTCCTGCCCAAAAGGAACACATGATCTAGTTGGGAAAGCCAGCATATACCAGTGTATTCATGATAGTATATAAAAGTGATCCAGGAGGCTTAAAGGAGGACTAATAAACTGAGAAAATCAGGGAAGTTGTCGAGGGGGAGGTGATATCTGAGCTGGGACAAAGGAGAGGTAATTCCAGGCAGAAGAGTTACTGCCTACAGAGTCATGGAGGTTTCAAGGTTTAGGAAATATTTAAGGACACAGTCTCAGATTTTCCATCTGAAGTTAAGGTACCACAATAATTGATTTCCTGAAATCCTCTCTTATTCTGCTTATGAGTCTGCAAAATACACAGGTATTGGATAATAGTTTTTTTTTGCTCTTGTTATACTGTTTCGAAACTCTGACATCATTACCAGGTTGGGGAAGTATGGGATAAATCCAGATTTGAAATTTCCTCCTCCATCTCCTGAGGCATCGCTAAATTATGAGAACAAAGAACAAGATTCACTGACAGATGTTGATAACATCCCAAGTAGTACTTTTTTTTCTCTTTTTATTCCTCATATTCTGAATATTTTACAATTTTAAAAGAGAACTCTCTGTGGATTATTCGTTTGGCAACTTGGAAGTGTAAAAATCAACATCATTATGAGACTGGTAGAAATTCATTTTATTTGCCTACATGTAAACTGTTTTCTCCGTCATCAGTCCTTCCCCCACTGCTTCCTTTCTTCCAACATGTATTTGGAAGGAAGTTAAAATACTTGCCTCTAAGGAAGAAGGTTAGATTCCCTGCCTTTTAAGAAATAGCTTAGCAGAGGAGCTAAGACATGAATAAGACACATATGCATAAAATGCAAGGCAAGAAGCTGCCTTTGCTATAAGAAAACCAGAAAGTGCCCATGACCTTCACAACATGGCAGAGGGGTAAGTCCCGTTGAGAGTTTTCAAGATAAGTTGCTATTATGAAGGATCTCAAGGAGCTTGTATAAGGAACGCATTTTCCACCCCATCCAACTTATTACATAATTAACATCCTTTTGTTCTCTGTTGGAAAATCACAGTTGAGGCTCTAAGACGTTGTCGGTGGCTGGTTATCTGAGTGCCTTGGCTCTGCATTCCGGTCAAAACAAACAGGAATTAGCAGGGATATTTGTTCAGACGGCATCAGGCATAAGAGGAAGCTACGTTTCCCATACCTGCTACTCTGCAGGTGCCTGCAGTGAGTCTCTCTGCCTCTTGGAAATAACACAGAAGGCTTCTACTCCCTGCTGCTGAGTCTTAGTTACAATCACAGTCTGTCGAGACTGTTCCAGCGAGTGCATTTAAGTGCTGCTCAGTATCTCCTCTTGAAAAAAATTTTGTTTTCTCAATGTGGTGCTTACATCTCCTCTCACAACACATACTAATGGGACACTAAATGAAGTGATGTGGAAATCACTATACCTTATTCATGTGTCTTTCCCAAAGGAAGGAAATGCTCACTGTATTGAATAGAATTAACTTCAGATTGCCCTACATTTTGTTTCTTTTTTCTATCTAGATAATGAAAATTATAGATTGAAAATCCTATGCTGATTTAAAATACTGTCTTTATGTTTATTGAGTATGTAGAATATGTTAGATACTAGTACATATATCATGCCAAAATGTTATACTTACTCTGATTGCTCTGTAAATATTACTGAAAGGTCTCAGGTAATTGCATCATTATAAAAATAGCTATCATTTATTCAGCACCTATTATATGACATGAATCATGCTGAGTAATTGCTTTATTTTCTCACTTATTCCTCAAAACAATCATATTAGCAAGTGTTTTTATTCCCATTTCCAAGATGGCTACCAAGCTAAGGACAATAAGTCAGTAATTAACCTAAGATTCCATAGTTATTTAGTTATAGAGTTAAAGTTTATTTTTTTAAATTTTTTTTTAGAGTTAAAGTTTAAAATCAGGATTCTGATAAGCCAAAAACTTTTCTCTTGAGACATTTGGTTCTTTCAGATTCTGATATTTTTTTACATAAGTGTCACTCTTTCATTTATAGCTAAAGAGAAAAGTAAATGTGTGCACTATTTCCCCATCTCTTAATATAGTTACTAGGGTATTACCATCTTACTTTTGTATTACGCTTTTTATCTCCTATAATTCTGAAATAATTTGGGAAGTTAACAAAGAATTTTAGTAAATATACTGAATTGCCTGAATTGCCATCCTCTGAAATAGGGTCATCTCTAGGGTATAATGAATAATGGGCTTCCCAGGTGATGCTAGTGGTAAAGAACCCACCTACCAATGTAGGAGACAAGAGATGTGGGTTCAATCCCTGAGTTGGGAAGATCCCCTGGAGAAGAAAATAGCACTCCAGTCTTCTTGCCTAAAGAATCACATGGACAGAGGAGCTGGGTGGGCTACAGTCCATGGGGTTCAAGGAGTCAGACACGACTGCAGCTACTTAGCACGTAGCACAGCACTGGGGTATGATGAAACCCATCTGTTTGAATAGCGACACAAATTTCTAAATTTGAAGCCTAATGTATTTTCAATTGTGTTAGTCCATTTGAGTTGCTGTAACAAAAACATTATCACTTATAACTGGGTAGCTAATAAAGCAGTTTATCCCTCATAGTTTTGGAGGCCAAGAAGCCCTAGTTCAAGACGCCGGCACTTTGTGACTGGTTCCATAGATGGTGTCTTCTGCCTCTAGTGTCACATGGCAGAAGGGAAGGGCGAGGAATCTCCCTGAGGTGTCTATATGATCACCTTCCAAAGGCCCCATCTCCAGATACCGTCACAGTGGACATTAGGTTTCAATATATGAATTTTAGGGGTACACAGACTCTCAGACTATAGCCTCTATGTACAGTAGCTTCCTGCCTCATCTTTTATATTGTACCTTCATCTGTTTATTTTTAGATGAACAAAAAAGAGGATGTATTATTTTTTCCTAAGAAGATGCTGTGGGGTTCATTACTAGAGTATACCCCAGCCTCCTGCTGCGCTGTGTGGACACTGTTGGAGGCCATCTCCACAGTCCTCATCCCAGCTACCTTGTTAAAATCACAGACCATCAGAGCTAAAGCAGGCCATGGAGGGTAGTCTACCCCTTCCTTTTATAGATGACATGTCTGGGGCTCAGAAAGGGGAAGAAAGGTCCTGGGTCTTAGAGTAAATTAATGGTAGAAGCAGAACTAAATTCAGGTCTTTCACCGTTAGTCCTATACTATTTTCCATGTATGACCTTGAGAAAGCTTGCACATTGTCTATACCTATTTTTCTCCTTATGAAAACAGGCAAATGTGTCCACTTGGGATTTTTTATTAACATTTGTAGAGAACTGTTGAGTTAGTATAAGAGTAACACCTTGGAACTTAGTCTCTTGGAGTCTTAGGCTATTTATATCCATTTAAGAAAGTTGTGGTAAAACACTTCCATCTGCATATAATTTTAATGTATTGAGTTTTAGTTTAATGTAATTAAATTTTAATGTAATGAATTGAATGAATTGAATCTGATTACTACTAACTCTGTTGTACCACACTTACCTAATCACTTTTATTAAGACATGCAGTTTTAGGGAACTTAAATTGTATCACAGTCATTTAAAGAAATTTTCAGTAGCTCTCTGATGCTTTTAAGTGGAGACACAAATTCCATAGCAATTCATTCTATTCACCATTTTTTTTTTTTTTTTTGGGAAACTGATTTCTACAATGTGTCTCCATACATCTTATTTTCTGAACCCACTGAACTATCAGCATTCTTCCAATATGGTTCTTTCATTTCTTGTTTTGTTTGATCAGTTTAGTTTTATGAATTGTGCACATGAGATGTAATAATGCACAAGACGCACAGGGTTCCTGTCCCGGAGGACTTCACAGCCTGCCAGAACCCAGCTTTCTGACATCTCTGTTTTTTCTTCTCCTCTCCTTTCCATTTTGGAGGCCTTTCAGCCGCTCTTCTGGGAGGCCATGTCCTGCATTTTGTAGAGTGGGCAGTTCTCAAGTCACTTCCTGATGAAACCTTGCAAGGTCTCTTCCAGCTGAGAGTTTTGTCCTGCACATCTCAGCACAGAGTCCACCTCTCATTAGAGGCATTTTATTCTCATGGTTCTCACATCAAATATTGGGTTCATGGACTAGATANACATGAGGTTGAGTAAACTCCGGGAGTTGGTGATGGACAGGGAGGCCTGGAGTGCTGTGATTCATGGGTTCGCAAAGAGTCGGAAATGACTGAGCGACTGAACTGAACTGAATTGAAACAATGATTTATTTTCTTTATATCCCCTACACGCTAAGCTATTTGGCATGTAGTAAGTGCCCAGTGACTGAGAGATGGATGAATTGTATGGATAGATAAAAATAGAGTTCAGATAAGTGTAAAAGGAAAGGAAAATAGTTGCTTTGGTAGAGAACTAGGCAGTAATTTCATCCCTTAGCAATTAAAGTTTTTACACTCTCTCTCTCTCTCTCACACACACACACACACACACACACACACACACATGCAGAAACATATGCTGGAGGTAGGTTGTTATAGAAACATGGCCACACTCTTCTCTAGCATGTGATTCAAGTCAGAAGCAAATCCATTTCTTCAACAAATTTTCCCTAAGCTGTGGTTGTTTTAAAAGATCACCTGCAGGCTAATGACTACTCCAGCGATGAGTTGCAACTTTGGGGTTTAATTTAATCTTTGAAGTCAAAGAAGCAGAAGGGGCAGTCTAATTAAAGGAATTACTTATGTGACTATCATCTAATACATATATTAAGGGCCATGCCTGCCATGAAATTACCTGGCAGAGAAGATCCCAAGGCAAAGTTAGTGTCCCACTTTTCAGCTCACATGTATTCTTGGCATGCTGCGCCAGATGTTTTGCAAGCTGAACTACCTGGTGAAAAACATTCTCATTAGCATGACAAAGAATTCTATATTTTGATAATACTTGCATGTTTACAGAGAGAATTATGAGTCTTTTGTCCTATGCGATAAACTAGTAAGAGAAATTCCTATGGTTCTTCAGAATCCTGTTTTATTAGAAAATAGATGCTGGATGAAGAGGATGAGGGGAAGTAGGCAGTGAGGCAAGATAGAAAAAGTACCTATCATATGTGCTCACTGGGAGGCATTTTGGGGGAAAGCATTAACATTTTAAAATTTATTTCATTGAAGTATAGTTGACTTACAATGTTGTGTTAGTTTTTGGTGTACAGCAAAGTGATTCAGTTATACACATATGTATTCTTTTATGTATTCTTTTCCATTAGGTTTATCACAGAATGTAGGTTCCTGCACTATACAGTAGGGCCTTGTTGTTTATCCATTCTCTATATAATAGTTTGCATCCACTAATCCCAAACTCCCAGTCCATCCACCCCCACTCCCTCCTTCTGAAAGCATTAATATTCATTAATGAAGATTTTATAATTCATTTAATCTTACAAGGAACAGGTAAGTTTAAAATTCAAGGGTGAGGAAAATGTCCAAAGAAATAAATATAGAATTTCAAATTTAGAAAATCAAAGCTAATGCCATCATTTGCCAGGAATGTCATCTTTACCAACTCCCTCAGCAGTCTGAGCTTCTGTTTATGTATATATAAATCAGGTACATAATAATACTAATGATAGTTATTAGCTGATGGCTGTGAGGATTGAATGGGAGTCATGCTCTTCATACTAGTTTTCATTTTTTAAAAATAAAGCCTAAGTCATGATCTTTAATTAAAAAATTAAATCTTATACCAGAGAAACCACTGGTCTTAGAAGAAGGAAGACTGAACAGTGTTTCGTCTTCAGTCACCAATAACTGTGTGATTAAAGGTATGTCTTTCCCGGTCTTCAGTTTCATAATCTTTAGAATGAGGGCAGTGGCCTGGAGGATTCTTAGGATTCCTTTCATTCCAGTTCTTACGTTCTGTGGTTCTGAATCTAAATTTCTGTAATAAAAGTCCACCACTTGTATTTTTCCTAATGATCATAAGGAACAAAAAGATTAAGCAGTTTGCCCAGGCTCTCTCAATAAGTTAACAGCAGTCATGCATTAAAATGCACAACTCCAGAACTTAGTGACTTAATGCTGCATTAAGTTGCTCTTCTAGATACATACTTATTACAGTGGCTCCCTAAGCATGAATATTCCGAAAAGAAAATTAAAGGTTGGCATTTTATGAATATTGCCACTACACTTCTTTCAAAATCTTACACACATTTTACCGTCTTTAGGAGAATTGATTAGCAAACCATACACACTTGAATTTACACAGATTGTGCTACAGGGGGCTCTCTATCAAAGAAGAAAATTAGTGAGACACATTTAGGCCTGATTCTGCTTCAGAAGCAGAATAAATCTTGCAGTTTTCAAGGAAGTTGTAGTGAGATGCTGTGCTGTGACAGGGCTCAGTTAGGATTATAAACCATGGGGAGGTCAGTACTGAGGATTACTTTCTGGTGATTGCAGGACAACAGTGTGACGTTGGATGGTTAGTGTCTGTTGGACAAAGGCAGCTATACTCCAAATCCTGGTAAGGCATCCCGTGCAAACTCAGAGCTGCTAGCATCCTCTCCTTAGTGAATTTCTGGTTGAGCAATAAGGACACACAGAGAGTAGACAATTAGTTCAGTGGATCACGGGAAACTGTCAGACCTGGAAAGGGGCATTAGAACCGAAGCGACAAAGTGGAGAGGACATCCTCCCTTCGCAAGTCAACAGTTTTAACTTCTAGTTTCGTTACTTCTTAGCTCCTATCCTGACTAATTGAATTTATACCTCTGTCAACATTTTATTTTGTAAGAGTATAATAATAATCTCCATCATACTTGTTCTACAGGATTTTTGCAAGGATTAAATGCTTGGAAACACTTAAATCAAAAGGTGTGATAAGACTTTTTCTCAAGCCAGTTTCCCAGTTCATGCATAAGATAAAGAAAATGCGTGGGCCTTCTCCCAGCCACTCTCTAGGAGTCGTTTGAGAGCATCCTATTTGAGAGCATCCTTTATATCAGGTTTTCCCACTCTGCCCAACTATATCTTTTCTGTTTTTCATATAGGACAAAAAGGAAGAGCTCCAACAACTATCACCACCACACCACCATTTCTTCTTCCCCCATGACCACCAGCACCCACATCTCGGGGAGGTGACTGACTAATCAATTAGTAAAAGGCTGGGTCCAGACTTACTGTGTTCAAATCCTGGTCATTTCCTTTATAACCTTATTACCTTAGCCAGGTTGCTTAACTTTTTTGCTCATCTTTTCCTTGTTGGTAATAATGATATGTACTTCATAGAGTTGTTGTGAGAAATCAGTTGTTACATATAAAGTGCTTTGACTAATTCCTGGTAAATAATTAGTACTTAAAAATATTTGGTTAAAAAAAGAGAAAAAAATATTTGGTTTAATTATTGTTGCCTTTATACAGAGTTAGAGAGAAGTGCTGTGTTGTAAAAGATAACCAGTAAGGTTTAGTTCTGAGGACTGAGGGCACCTAGCTATAAGCCATGAAGTAAAGGATAACTGGTCATTCTTTTTTGCTTTACTTAACTACCCTGAAATTAAAAGGAAGATCAAAGGGAATAACTTTGTTTGTTTCACATAATTGGTATGATGTGGGTGAGTGTATAAAATCATAGGATTTTAGAGAGGGAGGAAACTTTGGCATTCATCTGGTTAATCTCATTTTAAATATGAGAAAAGGAGACCTAGAGAGGAGGAATAATTTGTTCAAGGTTCCATATTGAATGAATAGCATTAAAGTGAGATTTCAGCTTAAGCTAGGAACAGACTGCTTCTGTTGACTCTCCTCACTCTAGAATTCTTGCTTCCTTTTATCTGCATTTTTGCAAAACTGCTTCTTAACAGTCATCTAAGATTGCACACAGGTTTAAAAAAAAAAAAACCCATACCAACCAAAACCTCTAATGTCTGTCTATGATGGGAACAGCTTTATTTTGTTTTGGGCCATCTTTGAAGTTAGCTACTTTGTTTCTTATTCTTCCTCCACCAGCACTCACTCAGAGATACAGGAACCCATTTTGAACCAAAGTTAGGAGCATTTAGCAACTCCAGAGATTATCATTGGCATCAGAGTCATTTTTCCCCATGACAGTCTTTGCTATAGCTACTAATGTCCTTTCTTGTTCAAGTAAGTGGTCATATGGAACATTGGGTTGGCCAAAAAGTTTGTTCCAGTTTTCCTGTTACATCTTACAGGAAAATCCAAATGAACTTTTTGGTCAATACAATATTTGAGTACTTTATAATCTATGCTCTTTTCTTGTTTAGAATATCAGCAATTAAATGTGATTCCTGGTTCCAGGACACTTCCAAAAGGGTCCTTTAGAGAACTTAAAACATACAGGTCATCAGTTATTCTTTTAAAACTTTCTAATTTTATAATGAGTAAATGGAGACACAAAGGTTAAATGACCATTCTGTAGTCACACAACTTTCTTCTCAAAAATGCCTCCTGGTAGGACACATGCCTACTCTCCAGTTTTGTTGTTGTTGTTTGTTTGTTTTTTAGTTTATTTTTTACTGAAGGATAATTGGTTAACATTGTTTTCTGTCAAACCTCAACATGAATCAGCCATAGATATACATATATCCCCTTCCTTTTGAACCTCTCTCCCATCTTCCTCCCCATCCCACCCCTCTAGGTTGATACAGAGCCCCTGTTTGAGTTTCCTGAGGCATACTGCAAATTCCCATTGGCTATCTATTTTACATATGGTAATATAACTTTCCATGTTACTCTTTCCATACATCTCACCCTCTCCTCCCCCTCCCCATGTCCATAAGTCTATTCTCTATGTCTGTTTTTCCATTGTTGCCCTGTAAATAAATTCTTGAGGACCATTTTTCTATATTCTGTATATATGTGTTAGAATACAATATTTATCTTTCTCTTTCTGACTTACTTCACTCTGTATAATAGGTTCTAGGTTCATCTACCTCATTAGAACTGACACATGGTGTTCCTTTTTATGGCTGAATAACATTCCATTGTGTATATGTACCACAATTTCTTTATCCATTCATTTGTCGATGGACATCTAGGTTGCTTCCATGTTCTAGCCATTGTAAATAGTGTTGCAACGAACAATGGGACACATGTGTCTTTTTCAATTTTGGTTTCCTCAGGGTATATTCCTAAGAGTGGGATTGCTGGGTCATATAGTGGTTCTATTCCTAGTTTTTTAAGGCATTGCCATACTGTCTTCCATAGTAGCTGTATCAATTTACATTCCCAGCAACAGTGCAAGAGTGTTCCCTTTTCTCCACACCCTCTCTAGCATTCATTGTTTGTAGACTTTTTGATGATGGCCATTCTGACTGGTGTGAGGCGATATCTCATTGTAGTTTTGATTTGCATTTCTCTAATAATGAGCAATGTTGAGCATCTTTTCATGTGTTTGTTAGCCATCTATATGTCTTCTTTGGAGAAATGTCTGTTTAGGTCTTTTCCCCACTTTTTGATTGGGTTGTTTGTTTTTCTGGCAGTGAGTTGTATGAGCTGCTTTTATATTTTGGAAATTAATCCTTTGTCAACTGTTTCATTTGCTATTATTTTTTTCCCATTCTGAGGGTTGTCTTTTCACCTTACTTGTAGTTTCCTTTGCTGTGCAGATAGATTTAATCAGGTCCCACTTGTTTACTTTTGTTTTTATTTCTGTTACTTGAGGAAGTGGATCATAGAGAATCTTGCTTTGATTTATGTCATTGAGTGTTCTGCCTATGTTTTCCTCTAAGAGTTTTAGTTTCTGGTCTTATATTTAGGTCTTTATCCATTTTGAGTTTATCTTTGTGTATGGTGTTAGGAAGTGTTCTAATTTCATTCTTTTACATGTAGCTGTCCAGTTTTCCCAGCCCCCTTTGCCCCATTGTATATTCT